ATATTTTGAATTTTTGAATGCCACGTAAGACTGCTAGCCATTCTTTTTCATTACTATGATAATTCTTTTCAGCATCTTTAACAGTTCCTGAAGTATATCTACACAATTTTTCTTCAGTAGAGTCTGTTGATTTTGCTTTTAAGACTGCACTCCAGTAATAGTCGGAGGCATCCGTTTCTAAAATCATTTTATCATTTTCTTGAGGATGATATAACGTGGGTAGAATTTTGAGTTTTTTCTTTATTTTTTCTACGTATGTTGTATCACTTGGAGACCAAGTAAAAATGACATTCTTTTTCAATTTTGCTTGTAAAGGCTTACGTATTGCTGCTAGATTGGCTATGTAGCCTTCTACATAATTTAAGATTTCAAGAAATCTTTGTAGTTGCTTTTTATTTCCTATTTCTGAGGGAAATTCAGAAATTTTTGTCATGATATGCGGTTGCATAGTTAGACTTCCATTTTCAATTTCAAGTCCTAAGAAATTAATCTTAGTTTGAGCAATTTTAGCCTTTTTCTCAGAGAGAATTATTCCCTATTTAAGACATTGTTCTAATACTTGTATAACATGTTTATAATGTTCTTGTTCGGTTTTGCTGAAGACAATTATATCATCAACGTATACTGTGCAAATTTTACTAAATTCTTTGCTCGGGTCTTTTAAACATAGAGCATTGTCAATTCTCCTTTGGAATAATCCAGGAGCTTGTTTTAACCCGAAAGGAACAACGTTCCATTCGAACTGTCCATTTGGGCAACTGAATGCTGTTAACTTTCTGCTTTCTTCTTTCAGAGGGACTTGCCAGAATCCACTCTTACAGTCGAACGTACTAGACCATTTCATATTTTTAATTAAATGAAATAAATCTTCTTTCTTAGGTAAAAAATACCCGTCCATTTCTGTATTATCATTTAATTTTTTATAGTTAATGACCATACGTCTTTTCTGTCTTCGTTTTTCAGCTTCATTTTCTACTAGAAAGGCTGGACTACTATGTGGAGATTTACTAGGCCGAATTAAATTCATTTTTATTAATTCTTCAATTTGTATGTTAAACTCTTCTCTATCTCGAGGAGTATAGCACATTGGTTTAACTCTTATAACCTTTAAAGGGTCAATTAATTTTATTTCAGCATGTAAAGCTGGATTTTTTTATGCTTTTATTAAGCATTTTATCTAACGGATTTTCACTCGTTATTTTATTTAATGCTCTTTGACAGTCTCCTAAAGACAACGTATAAAGCATTTGATGTTTAAATATTAAGGTATCCATTATTCTTTTACATTGCATGGTTCGAATAAAAATTCTTTCTGGATTTCTAGTTTCATTTGTTATTGCAATGTTTTTCTTTTTTATTTCAGTAACCTCACCACGTTTTCGTAGTTTGGAGTTATTTTTCATGAATTCTTTAGATGCAAAGCTATAAGCTTTCTGCACTATAGTTATATAAATTGGTATTTCATTTAAATGTAACAGTATATAATTTATTTCCTGGACAAATGGTCTGTATAATTTTAAGAAGTTATTACCTATTAAAAGGTCTACTCCCGTATCTTGTTGGTATATAGTAGGAACTATAAATTTTTCTCCTGCTATTAAAAATGTAACATTATAAGCCACTTTTTCTAAAGTAATTACTTGTTTATTTGCAACTCGTGCAGTTATTTTTTGTTTAGCATTTTCCCATTTTTCAATGGGTAGTACAAAAGGATGTGCAACACAAATGCTTGCACCTGTATCTATATATCCATGAAGATGATATAGTTTATATCCTGTGAATTTAAAACCCACCTTGATATAGGTGCTACTAGGGTTAGTTATATTTAACAATTGTTACATTCGTCAGAACTATCATCAGTGCAACTTTCCCATTCAGAGTTTGGTTTGGAATAGAATTGTTTATATTCTATTTGAAGTTTTAATTCATATTCTGAATCATTAAACTCATTTTCAGATTCAATTGGTTCAAAGTTGAATTTTTGCATTGTATAAAGCATTTTAACTTTATCTTTACTTTCTTTTCTTTTAGGACATTCATTTGCATAATGACCTTCTTCCTGACATAACCAACATTTACAGTTAGTTTTTCCCTTTGGGCAATATTTTTCTTTTCTTTGAATTCTTCTTCTATATCTGGGTTTGTTCATTTTATGATTCTCTTTTTTGTATTTCCTATATTTAGGAATATACCTTTTATACTTTTTAAACTTCTGGTATTTTAGTTTCCTAGAATGCCTCTCTTTTTTAGTTCTACAACCCCATTTATTGGGTATTTCTAATAATTGAGGATCACAACATGGTTTGTTTTGATAGTATACAAGAGTCCCTCGTAATTGGGTATCTTTACATCTATCTTCTATGGTTTCTTTAAGAAGATTTACTCTTCCTGCAAAACCTTCTATAATATGATCAGGTTTATTAGACCATTTTTTGTTCATTTCAAAAGCCCACAGTGGTGGCAGCTTATTGAAGTATTTTTCAGCATATGCTGGTCTATCTTCTTGTTTTAACAAGTAATACCATTTTTCATATTCACATGTAAAATTTTTCCAATAACAAATATCACATATTTGAATATTGTCAAGTATGAACTTTGCTTTTTTCTGTCTCTCTTCTAACACTACATTTGTGTTATCTAATTATCTGACTCCTACAAACTCATTAACTAGTAGTTTAGCCAAAGCATTTAGATACTCTATGTTATCTTCCGGTTTATTCCAAAGAGCATCAAGGCTTGGAACATATGGGTTTGAATCCCACCAGTTTCTAACATTTCCCTTCATATGAAGTCCTAAATATGTTTCTAATGTTCTTAGATCTTCAAATGCTTCTCTATTAGTTTGTATTACTACTAACATATAATTATACCAACCTTTTATTGTTTCAACTGGTTTTGTCAAACAATCTAGATTGAGTATGTTATTACTATGACTGTTAGAATTATCTTTAGGAATAAATTCCTTCGGAATATAATTCTTTGTTTTATTTTTCTTGTAAGGTTTTGCCTTACTTCTATTCATATTCATTATTCCTGGAATATTTATTTCGGGGAATGTTTTTTCTTCATCAGATACATCAAAATACCTATCTGCATTTGGATTATAGAACTCATCGTTTATGTATTCTTCAGGAGTCATATACTCATGAGTGTCTTGATAATTGCTTGGTCCTGGAGGAATATCCTTAAGATCTTCTTCAATTTTAACATTTATACGATCTTTTGGTTCTAGATTTTCACTTTCTGAACTAGAGTCGCTGTAATTTCCAACGAATTCTTTTAAGGATAATATATTCTGATATTTGTCTAATAGAGACTGAATATCAGTTTCACTTTGAATAGAATCAGTGTCACTGTTCATTTTTCTCCAGGCAATCTTTTTCTTCCATTTTAAATAGATTACTAAGATCCCATTCATTCGGTGGTCTATATGTTGGTATAGACTTCTTTTCTTTAATGTTTCTTAAAACTCTTTCTATTTCTAATAATTTATTGTCTTGGTTATTAGACTCAGACTGTTGTATATTTTGCTCTATTCTTAGAACAACTTCTTTTATTTCACTAACTATTGTTAGTATTTGTTGTACATTTCCTACGTCAGGACTTTTAGACATTTAATCTTAATTCTTTTCCAATTTGATTTACAAGTAAAATTACTTTGCTTAAATGTTCCATTAATGGTTCAATTTTTGGAATTTTCTCGTCTAATTTTATTAAAGTTTCTTCCAACCTATTTACGTTTATTCTATTGATATTTTCAATAATTTTGTCAGCTTTTGCTGCGATATCAAGAATTTCTGATAGTAAAGTATCAAGAAATTCGATATTTCTACTCGTTTTTTCAAGTCTTTCAAGAATTAATTCTTGATTATTTCGGATTTTTTCAATATTTTCCCAAAGAGGAGTATTATTTATTCTACTCATTTCTCAAATATATGAAATTTGAGTTTTTTTTTTTTTTTAGCTTATTCTAGATGATTTTTGTTTTTGGTTAAGTGTTATAAAAGGACAATAACACTGTTATTTTTATAAAATGGTTAGGTTTCATTTTTTATAAAAAGTAATGGCTATTTAAAGCTTTTGACATAAGAAAAAATGATTTTAAGGGCAATTATGTACTTTTGCAAGCCAAAATGGCTAGATTTTGATTTTTTGAAAAACATGACTAGATTTCATTTTTTATTTTATAAAAGTGCTATAAAGCACCATTATCACTTAGCAAGAATATCACGTATGAACTGTCTAAAAATGTGAGAAGATATAGAGACGTCTGAATCGTCCACAACCTATTGTCAAGAAAGAAGTCGTATCAAGAACTTTCGCGGCAAATTAAAGGGGTGATTGTTTATAGATTCAACTAGTTTTTATTTGATTTGTTTTTAAACAATAGTTAATTTTGAAAAAAAAAATTAGTACCATGAGTTGTTTGTTGACATATTAAAATAATATTTAAATAAAATAATTAAAGTTGATTGGATGTAAAGTACGAGAAAAATATTTGAAAGTAATAGTTAGCTAAAATTATGTGAGTAGATGAATAGTGAATTAGAGTTTATGTGATGTGTAAAAATGATTAGTTTGATATTGTTCAATTATATAAATAATATTGAAAATAATGAGATTAAGTTAAAGTTGAGTTAAATTTAAATTAATTATTTTTTTAGTGTTAAACAATATTCAATCGCCCCCTAAAATACCCTCTCTCGAACCACCACTAACCAAGAGGTCCAAGACTTGGTCAGCACGCCAGTTTTTCCTTTTCCTCTCTAATTTACTTTATTCGTGTCTGTCGTAACCATCGCCATCGGTCATTCTAGAATCGCCTGGGCTCTCTACCTTATCGCCCTCATTTCCTCGCACCACACTCTCACTTACTCGCTAAGCAAAAGACCCTTACATATATATTCCCCCCAAATCCCCAATTTTCTAGGTCACACCGAAACACACATTTATATCTCTCTCTCTCTGAGGAAGCCGATAAGAAAGTTTATTCTAAGAAGATGGAAGGCGGAGGAAACAACTTCGGACGCGGCCGAGGCCGAGGCCGCGGCGGCGAAGGGCGCGGGCAACACCAGGGCCAAGGCGGCCGGGGGCGCGGGAACTACCGGATCCAGCCCAATCAGGGCGGCGGAAGGGGTCGGGGAGATGCCCCGCCGCCAAGCCGCGGCCCTCCCGGTCAACCGCCGGTTCAGGCAAATCAACCCCCTCCCCAGCATGCTTGGATCAGCAGGCCGCCGGGTCCCAGACAATCCGGTCCAATTCCTGGCGGGCCCTCCGGCGGAGGAGCCGGCGCTCGGACTGGGAGGCCGTGGGGGCCATCTGCTGCTCCTAATGTCACTCCTGTTCAGCCTCAGCATCTGGCCAAATCCGGTCCACCTCCCGCGGGTCCCTCTAGCGGAGGAACTGGCTCTTGGACTGGAAGGCCGTGGGGCCCATCAGCTGCTCCTACAGCTACTCCCGTTCAGCCTCGGCCTCAGGCTCAGCCTCCACATTTGGCCCAGGCGACTCATCAACCATCTGCCGGTACGAGAGCTTCTGTTCCTCGCTGAATTGTTATATACATATGATGATAGATTTCGTAAAATTTATATATATTTCACTGAGTTTTGGGCGTTTTTGTTATGATTCCATGTGACTCTTCACTGTGTTCATCAGATTGGGCGTGCGTTATGATTTCACTAAGATATAGAATTTAATTTATCTTTATTACATTGTATTGGGCAGATGCCATTGATTTGAAAACTCTCAAGATAACCGAGGAGAAGCCTCAAGAGAGTCAGATCAAAGTCATGAGTCGGCCTGACCGAGGAGGCAAGCTTGCCGTCAGATCCATCAATCTTCTGGTCAACCATTTCCCCGTCAAATTCAATTCTGAATCAATTATCATGCATTATGATGTGGATGTGAAGCCTTCCGGTGACAATGGATCCTCAAAGAAAAAGTTGAGGAAATCCGAAATGGCTCTGATCAAGAACAAGCTGTTTTCCGAACACGATGAGTTCAGCACGGCCCTGCTGAAAACCGTTTATGATGCAGAGAAGAATATTTTCAGCTCTGTTCGTTTACCCACAGGTGTATTCACTGTGGAGATTCCTGAAGACGAGGAGGTTAGGAGGGGATTATATACTTTCACAATCAAGCTTGTGAATGAGTTGAAGCTTTCCAAGTTGAAGGACTATTTATCTGGTAACTACTCGTCTGTTCCTCGCAATATACTGCAAGGGATGGATTTGGTTATGAAGGACAATCCTTCCAGGAAGAGGATTGGTGTTGGTCGTAGCTTTTATTCGCACAATTATCGTCCCCAAGACGATCTGAAATGTGGAGTTGCAGCTCACAGAGGCTTTCAGCAGAGCTTGAAGCCCACATCACTCGGTCTTGCTTTGTGCCTGGACTATTCAGTCATAGCTTTTCGAAAGAAATGCTCGGTCATTGAATTTCTAAGTGAAAATGTTCGGGGGTTTAAAGGAGTAGGTGATGTCAAAAGATTGATTGGGGATGTTAATGGTGCTTTGATAGGGCTGAAAGTTCGAGTTAACCATCGACGAACGAAACAGAAGTATACCATTGCTGGGCTAACTCAAAAGGATGCTCATGATATTTACTTTGATCTTATTGATCCAGAAGGCTTAAGACCTCCAACAAGGACAGCTCTCGTTGATTATTTTAGGGAGAAGTGGGGAAAGGATATTGTGCATAAAAATATTCCCTGCTTGGAACTTGGTAATCCAAGGAAGCCTAATGCTGTGCCGATGGAATTCTGCGAATTGGTTGAAGGGCAGAGGTATCCGAAGGAGGATCTTGACCGGAATGCTGCTGTATGGTTGAAGAATTTATCACTTCCTAAGCCTGGGGAGAGAAGGACTACAATCAATGATATGGTCCGAGCTGATGATGGGCCCATTGGGTATGTTTTCTTGGTTTTTTACTTTCTTATAGTTATGTTTGAATGTGTTAAGAGTTTAAAGATTCTCAGTTATGCGTTTCAAGTTTATGATCATATCCTCAAGTTTCTTGGAAATAATCCGAAGTGTCTAATGAATATATCCTCTGTTTGAGATAATATATCCAGTTATATCCTTTCTTACTAGTTATATCCTTTCTTACTGATCATCTTCAAGTATTCTTTGAAGCCAATACTTCTTTTTCTACTGAGATTTGGAGGAAGAATTGTTCACATGATGTTGGTTCCGGTATTCGTCATGAAAAACATATATAAGGAACTCACAATTGCATAATATCTCTGCCTTGTAGTGATAAATACTCTGAATCAAAATTATTGTTGATTCGAACTGTTCTGTTTCCAATCTCTGATGTGCATACACACGAGGATATTGCTGTATTATTTCCAAATCTCTATTATTTTCCCCCATAGCAGAATGCGTAATTTCGAACTCTCGTTGAATTTCAGGGACATTGTTGGAAATTTCGGAATGGAAATTGTTCCCGAAATGTCGAGTGTTAGAGGCCGGATCATTCATCCACCCAAGCTGAGACTCGGGGGTGCAGAACAAGTAGGAGTGGATGCAGAAAAATGCCAGTGGAACCTTCTCGGTAAATCCCTCGTCCAAGGGAAACCCATCGACCGGTGGGCCCTCATAGATTTCACCGAGGGCGACAAGTATAACTGGCTCGATGTGGGGCCCTTTGTCGACACCCTGATTAAACGTTTTCACCAACTGAAAATCAAAATGAAAGAGCCTCTTGTGTACCGTTACACTCGTATGCAAGAATTCTCCTCCGTGCAAAGACTCGAGAATCTCCTCAACAACGTTGTGCAAGAATCTGCGCGTGTGGACAAGGAAAAGCTGCAGTTGATTGTATGTGTCATGAGCAAGAGAGACGATGGTTACAAGCTGCTGAAGTGGGTATCCGAGACGAAACTCGGCGTGATCACACAATGCTGCCTCTCGTCCACCGTCAATAACGAAAAGGGATGGGACCAAACTTACGCTAACCTCTGCCTCAAGATAAACGCCAAGCTCGGCGGGAACAACTTCGAGCTTCTCAAAGAGCCTAGCAACTCGCGCTCCGACGAGCATATCATGTTCATAGGAGCCGACGTGAACCACCCTGCTGCTAGCAACTCGTTGTGCCCGTCGATAGCTGCTGTTGTCGGTACCGTCAACTGGCCCGCGGCGAATCGCTACGCGGCCCGCATGGGCCCACAGGCCCACCGATGCGAGAAGATCGAGAATTTTGGAGCCATGTGTCTCGATTTGGTCAAAGCCTACGCCCGGGCCAACAACAATGTGAGGCCGAAGAGGATCGTGCTCTTTCGAGACGGGGTTAGCGAGGGGCAATTCGAAATGGTGCTCGGGCAGGAGTTTCTCGATTTGAAACTAGCGATTTGCGACGAGAGCTACAACCCGAGAATCACGGTGGTGGTTGCGCAAAAACGTCACCAGACTCGACTTTTTGTTCAGAACGAGAGAGATGGGGGCAGGACGGGAAATGTGCCACCTGGGACAGTGGTGGACACGGATATCGTCAGCCCTCGGGATTTCGATTTCTACCTCTGCAGTCACTATGGGGGTATTGGGACGAGCAAGCCCACACACTACTATGTGCTTTGGGATGAGAATGGTTTCACGTCTGATGGGCTGCAGAAGCTGATTTACGACATGTGTTTCACGTTCGCCCGGTGCACAAAGCCTGTCTCGCTCGTGCCGCCCGTTTACTATGCAGACCTTGTGGCTTATAGGGGCCGAATGTTTCAGGAGGTGCTGCTTGGGACTCGGTCCTATGGGCTCGGTTCTAGTCGTGCCTCGAGTTCAAGTTCGGGTTCACCACCGTCTTCTGGCGACGCTTCTTTCAACCAGAGCTTCTACGACTTGCACGAGAGTTTGAAGGACGTCATGTTTTTCGTTTGATTTTAAAATTCGAACTTTTTGCTCAAGGAAAACCACGTCCATTCTCCTTTTTTCTGTGAAAGTAAAGGGGTTTGTGCGCGAATCTAAATTTTCCTGTTTTGCGGCTATGTTTTGGCTTCTTCTTTCGTTGTGTGCTTTCTGGTAAGCGGTTCGCTTGTGGTTGCATGAAGCAAGCTGGACATGCTTGG